CATGCTTTACGTCCAAATAATTCAACATTATCCACTTAATCTCAAGTTACATCGTTGTTAAAAATCACATAACAACATATATAATATTTTATCATATCATATTCTATCTATATACATATACATATACACATATACATATACTATTAACTTAAAATATTTTTAAAAATGTTTTTTTTTTATAAAAAAAAAAGTTTAGAAAACATCTTTCATACAAAATGAGAGTTAATATTTTTAGACATGTTTTTTTTTTTCAAAATAATTTAAAAAAGTCGTAGGTGACTCCACATATATTAATAATAAATATAGAAAATTTTAGAGTTTTTACATATGTTATTATAATATTTTAGATGTTTGTAATATTTTAAACAAAAAAAAAAAAATTGTTCTCTTGTACAAGCTAATTTTAGATTGTTTATAATAAACTGATATACGGTAAATTATATCACATGTTAACCCCAATGTTTAATTTGTTCACCTTCATCTTTAATTTACACTATTTTTTCTTGCTCTTTTAAGAAATGATGGTTTCTCACTTCTTTAATTGAGTGGCTCGAACTCGAGACCTATTTATAATTATTATTTAATATTATTTACTCGTGCATCACACGAAATACGCACTAGTTGAATTAAATGTCTAAAATACTATTAATGATAGTATAATTTTGAATTTTTTCACCGTTGGATTGTCTCATTTGATAACTAATATTTATTTTTATTTCTTTCTCTAAACACTACTCTAATCGGGATGTCACCATATATACATATACACTAAACTACATGTGATCCGGTCAGGTCAATAATATTAATGTTTCACCCTAGTAGAAGCCAAATTCGCTTGAAAAAATGGTCCAAAGTAACACATCTCAGTTTGACCTCATGACCCTGAGTTCCAAATTGATCTGTTGGGTTCAATAAAATAAATGTAAAAGAAAAAAATGTTGTAACTACAAAATAAAATGTAAATAAGTGATTTTTTAAAAGTTGGATAGGTCCATGATAGAGATAGATGCAGCCTCCCCAGCAGATAATTACTAGGCTTTGCATACAAGTGATTATTAACATTAGTATTTGTTTGTGGGAGCATATTTATATTCAATACATACCCCCATACAAGAGAGAAGAAAAAATAAAATAAATAAAAAAACAACAATTTTCATGGTTAAGGAATAGAATATATATATATATATATATATATATTTTTAAAAAAAATCAGTTGTATTCTGACTTTTCCTCCTCGATGACTCGAATCCATGATCTATCGGTCATACATAAAACATTTTATCATTAAGTTACGCTTCGTTGTCAAATAATAGTATATATGGGAAGATTCTACAGTCCCGTTACGGAACAATTCCTTCGGGATTTGTAACCGTTAAATTAACTATCCACGACGATTATATGATGATCTAGGTTATAGATTTCGACAAAATAGTTCCGTAACGAGCGTGTAACATTTCTCCAATATATGTATGTAGGAGAAAACATTATTAAAAAAAAA